CTACAGGGAACTACCTTAAATTAGAAAGCAGCACTCATCCTGCTCCTCTGATGCTTTTAAACGTCTCTGCAGGAATTTTCAGTAAGAAAAAAGATAAAGAAATTGGAGAGTTTGGTTCATAAAATGCTTTAGAAGAAATGGGAATGTAATATCAGCTCAACCATATGTCTTCTGATACATAAATCAATAAAATGTGGGTAAGGGTTATTTAGCATAGTATGGAAGAGAAAAAAGATTAACCAAACTGGGAATTAGTAAAAACAAAACAGCAGTAATCACTGCTTTGAGGAGAGAAAGATAAAAACATGGTTGACAATGAAAAAAATAGCATCATGATATGTCAGATGCTGAACTAAACCAATTTTATTTTGAAAGAAGATGTCTTACAAAGCTGAATTTGAATGCATGTCTTGCAGAATGAACTGTCATGCAAGACTAGGCACTCCCTTTTTCATTGTGTAAATTGTTTGAAAGTAAGTTGTACTGCACTCCAAAACATAAACATAATATCCCACGGTGGAATTAATATTTTGCCCTCAGTGGCGGTAGCAGATTTTTTTTCTCAATGTATATTAAGGTTTTTTCCATTTGCCCTAGAAAAAAACCCAAAACAACAAAAACCAACAAACCCCTGCCAACAAAAAAAACCTACAACAATAACTAAGAGTGTAACTGCTAATGCTGACTCAGATGCTACTCAAGCTTCAATTCCACTGGGCATGAATGAGCAACAGAGCAATGGAAAGATAAATACACTCACTGCAGCATTTTCCTACAAGGAAGGAGATAATTAGAGAAGCAGAATTCTAATTACTAAAAATACCTACAGAACTAATTTTAGTCTCCAACAGATGACCTGTTCCAACAGGACATCTTAGGTAACTTAACACTTTCTTTGTATTTACATTTAAGACCAGAAGTGTATTTTCCTTCTCTCTCCATTTTGCTATCACAGTCCTAAGCATTCAAAATACTTGCAGATGCAATCACTGTCCAATTTTTTCCAATTGTTAAATGTAAATCACAAACAGTGAAAAATCAATTGAATAAACTTACATGTTAGCAATTACATTTAGTGACACCTAACCAGTTTCTACCAGATGTTCAGAGACTGAAACAACAGAGCCTGAAATATGTTTAAATTCTTTTTTTGTTTTGTTTTGTTATCAGTAATTAAACAATAGTTGCTGTTCTTGTCGTGACGGCACATC